AATACACATTATCCTCGTTAATACTAGAAATAAACTAACTTAGAACATCAAAATGTTGGTTTTATTTAATTCGACACTCAACGTTTCGCTTTACAGCTTCTTCAGGAGCGAGGCCCGGCATGGCCAGGTGGATAAGGCGCTCGACTCACAATCTGAGGGTCGCGGGTTCGAATCCGCATACCACCAAACATGCTCGCCCTTTCAGCTGTGGGTGCGTTATAATGTGACGGTCAATCCCACTATTCGTTAGTAAAAGAGTAGCCTAAGAGTTGGCGGTGGGTGGTGATGACTAGCTGCCTTCCCTCTAGTCTTACACTGCTAAATTGGGACGGCTAGCGCAGATGACCTTCGTGTACCTTTGCGCGAAATTCAAAACAAACAAACAATCTTCAGGAGCGTTCACTACAACACAAACCGAAGAAGCTGTAAAGCGAAACGTTGACTGTCTAATTAAATAAAAACAACATTTTGCTGTTAAAAAGTCGTTTACTTCTAGTATTAACATGTCTTCTATACACCAATATCTACTACAGAAATTAAATAATATCCTCGTTACCAATGTTGAATTACTATCGAACTTGGGGGAGGGCTCATTCAGGGTTATAGCACTAAAAATCTGATTTCGGTAGGCACAACAGAAGTAATCCTACTTTGTGCTTAACAAAAACAAACCCAAAAAAGTTTCGAAACTTTCATCAACTTTATAAGGTTTTATAAAGCTTATGTTAGTATATATGTACTTGTACCTTTTGTAGCTTTAGTACCAATTGATTTTTATAGATCTGTGTATATAAATATATACTGAACAAGATTTTCATCGCTTTACGTTTAATTTACTCTTTTAAAATCAATAAGCAAAGTCTGTATATTCATGTAAAACAATTAAGTATTTAGTTTTATTTCTCTTTCGGCCCCCCAGTGGCACAGCGGCATGTCTGCTGACTCAGAACGCTGGAAACCCGTGGTTTGCAGAACATAGATAGCCTCTTGTGGAGCTTTGTGGTTAACTTCAACTAAACAAACAAAAATTCTCTATTGAATTAAATACAAATTACACTTTCATCTAAAATGTGAGTCTTTTGAATATTAAATTCACAAATCACTTGTTGATTGTAGTCATTCAATCTTAATCTGCTGTAGGGAGATTAAAATGTTAAAACAAACGTTAACGTTTGATGACGCTAATCCTATGGCAATTAGGCTCATGAAAGTTTGTTGAGTGAAAATATAGATTAAAAGGAGCTTGTAAATATTCAAATTGTGTACTATAGAAATATCCAAATATTCTTTCATTAAATACACAATGAAGTATTCCAATAAAAATTCGGTTAAATTAAAAACTTGTAAATATTTTGCGCAAACTAAATTTTGATAAATATAAACTTTCTCAACATAATTTCGCTCTTCAGGTATGTTTTGTGTGTGTGTGTGTGGAATAAAATTTAGAACGAACAGTGATCGTTTCTCTCGACAACACCTAAGCACGTATAGTTTCCTTCTGGTATTTCTTCCTTTTTTTTTTTTCTTATTCTTTTCCCCCACACTTCAGTAGATTTCACCTTATCTCTTCAGAAGAAGACAGGAGATGTGCAATGATTCATGATCAGGTAAGATGAATTGATTGGAGTCAGAAAAAAAAACATTCTGTAGCAAAATTATCCCTTCTAACAGTAGCAGCATAATCCTATACGTATTAGGCTGCTCTACTTGTGGTTACGAACCCCATCCGAGCAAAGTGTCTATCTTTGAAGAAAAATCAATAATTCTACTGTTGGCTGAAGCTCATTGTAGCAGACAATCATTGAAATTTTCTGAATGATTGTCTGATAAAACTACTATATGAGATGTACAAAAAATCAGTAAACAAAAGATAATCACAGTCGATTTGACAATTCTTTCAACCATTGCTATATACCGTACATACCTAAACATCATTCATTTAGTATCAACATGAAAAATGGGCACAAACATAATTTGAACTTTGTGCATTATTTTTCACCTATAAGCTAGTATTCGGTACTAAATACAACAATTCAAATCTGATCTAAGCCTAATGAGCTGAAAGTACAATCAAACAGTCGAAGGAACGTAATAAGCTTATACACAATTAGAAGATATATTGTTTCGTAATCTAAAAGCTTTATTGAGGTTCTGATCTCAGAAATGCCATATCTGACATTTCTTTCTGCTTTTACTATTACTTAGGTTGGAGTGTAAGATCTTGTTTAATGAGACTTTGACTAATTATTTTACTTTTAAAAGATGAAAATTTCTGAATAATTAGCAAATGTTGTAAAGAATTTACCTAAATTTTGAAAACGAAACCTGGGGAAGTTAAGCATGACGTCATAAGTTAGCATAAACATAACTGTGACCTGAAAAGGTAAGACAAAAGTAGAAAAGAAAATAAATTATAAAAGTTACCAATACTTTTATTAATAACCTAAGTTTAAAATTGTTATTTTTCAAACACGAAAAATTTCAAATACAAACCACATATGCGAATTAAAAATCATGGAACGTTCAGGTGTCAGCAGGAATCTCTAGTTGTTTTCAATTACTTATAAGATTATTCAAAATCACAACAAAAATATTTTGCGTGTGAACCACTGCCAATTAGCAATATATATTTATATATAATAAATAAAAACAAAACACCTGTCATGTGGAAACTCAACCAAATACAAATAATAAATATTTAGAAATACAATTTCCTGTGCCTTAAGTACATTGTATACTTGGAAAGCTAATTTTACTTTCTTTTTAATATTTTACTAATGTCTGTTTCTGAATGATTAAATTCATAAATCTAGGTAGAGGGCTGCACTGCATGATAAACGTAAATAAAAAAAAATCATTAAAGATCCATAAAATCCATGCAAACTTAGAAAACTGTGTTTATGAACTGTAGGTTCATGTAGACATATATGCAGATTTTGTTAAACAAGACCGGTGTCTGTAGGTTTACTTTCTTCTTAGAATTCTTCTCAAGAAGTCGATAAGCCGTCTTAACGTTGTTAGAACAACGGGTAAAAGTTGTAGTTAGTGATGAGTTGGCCGACGCGTTTCGAATGCATTCTGCATCCATTATCAAGGCTGAATGTTGTGTGAATTGTGATTACTGTTGGTGGATATTTATAGGTATAGGTAAGCAGGTAAACAAACTTGTTCTGGTAAGGTGACACTTATGCTTTTAAAACAGTTGAATAATAATTTACCTTGTATGTGTGTGAATATTTAAATACACTGCTCATAATAATCAAAATTTATAATTTTGTAGTTATTACCAGGAAAAACCACTGTTATAATGTCAAACATTCCTTTCAATTAATATTTATGCAAATCAAGCATCTAACGATCCATCTTATGATCTGACATGCAATTTATTCGTCATTCAGCCCTTACTCATAAATGACCATTTGGTAGATGTTGGTATTTCAGTTTGGTATAGAATATGGTCACCATGAACAACAAGTGAGATCTGACACTATTGTTTGAAATTACATTGTTAATAATTCCCTAAATTATTTTTGATCATTCTTCAGAAAAGGCTATTTTCAGAGGATTTTTAATGATTATGAGGATTGAAAATCTAGAGATGAGCATGAAATCCACTGAATTTGGTCAATTTCCTCTTCAAAAAAAAGTCTCAAACAGTGTAGCATTGTGGAGGTGAGCATTATCATTCATTACTCTTAAATCATTGCATATGGTAACACAAAGTCTCATAAGATGTGGCACTTGCCTTGTGTGATATTAGCAGAGCTATTTGCACCGGATGTTGAAGCCATTAGGTTGACCTTGTACCTTTACCTGTTTACACTGTACTTCCACCACTGCTATAATAGGCTTTTTTATTGTCAAGTAACAAACCAGGTTACAAATAGTATTTACTTAAAATGGCGTTAAGATGCAATCACTAATTTTAAACAGGTCACCAACTTGAAGTTTACATGAGAAGCAAGGAGACAGAGCCAGGGTTTACCCAACCAAAACATGTATTTTTATTAAAAATTGATATCTAATACTTATAACAGTAATTCCCAACCTGTTGTCCCCGGACCCCTGGGGGTCCGAGAAGATAATACCATCTCATTAAACAAAT